CCCCCATAACCAACTTGATCATAAAATACCAGATAACTAACCTAACCTAAATCACACACTAATATTTACCACTGTTAAAAACAGGTGTCCATATCTGCACCGAACGGCGGGCGACACCGAACGCCGGTACCACTTGCGCTACTACAAGACGGGTATCTGCGTGTACGACACGGACACCCGGGGGTATTGCGTGAAAAACGGGCCGCACTGCGCGTTCGCGCACGGCCTGCACGACCTGCGCAACCCTGTGTACGACATACGCGAACTGCAGGCCATGGAAAGCGGTTGCGGCGGCGGAGGGGGTGGAGGCGGCGGCGGTGGGCTCGGGCTCGCAGGGCTGGGCAATCAGGGCCTGCAGGGAGGGCTCGATATGGACAACGGGAACGGTAATGGAGGGCCCGGTTCGCTGCCCAACTCGTTAGATAAGGAGAGGAATGCGCTGAATGAGGACCCCCGGTGGCAGGACACCGCCTACGTGCTGGCTAATTATAAGACCGAGGTGTGCAAACGCCCGCCGCGACTGTGTCGACAAGGGTTAGTTGTGTTTACCAAGTGTATAAACTCCCCTTTCCCTATCCCCCTTCACCCATCCATAATCATTAAGCTAGTATCTTAAATTATTTAAACTAGTTAATTAAAACGTTAGCTTAATAATCTAACTAATTAAGTTCTCTTACATTGATTTTTATTTGCACTACCTGTTGTCATAAGTTACTATGATTATTTATTTATTAAATGCACTTGTTTATTATTTATGCACCTGTATTAGGTACGCGTGTCCGCAATTCCACAACAACAAGGACCGCCGGCGATCGCCCAAGAAATACAAATACCGTTCCACTCCCTGTCCTAATGTGAAACAGGGCGACGAATGGGGCGACCCAACCAACTGTGACTCGCAGGACAACTGTCCGTACTGTCACACGCGTACGGAGCAACAGTTTCACCCGGAGATTTACAAATCCACCAAGTGTAACGATATACAACAGACCGGTTACTGCCCACGGGGGCCATTCTGCGCCTTCGCCCACGTCGAGACCAATGGTAAGCCCCTCCCCTACCCCCCCCACATCTCTACCCACCCCCCCTTTCACTCACTTCTACCCTGATCTTAAGTTTAAACCTCTTATTAGTGGTACTTTTACTATAGATATTGTGTTTAAGGTGTTTATGATTGGGTTTTTGAACCAGAATTTTATGGTATATTAATGTATACGTGTGTAGAGAATATTCTGGCGCTTAATATAAGTTATTTACAGACTATGTGGCTATCAATGGTATATACAATACATGTATGTCTATTAATAGACACGCTGTTAGCAGAATATTCTGTGTGTGCTCGAGATAATCGCGTCTGAGTGGCGTTTAATTAATTTATATAGTTGGTTAGGTTATTTGCTTGAGTTTTTAGCTTGTTATTTTTGTCGCTGTAATAATAATAATGGTGTGATAATTATTGTGTATTATTTTATTCAATACACCCAGTTTATTTTTATTTCTAGTGTAATGTGTTTATTATAATGTTTTGTATAACCCCCACCCCCTGTATATGCTAGATTAAATGTATATTTTTGTTTTTGTATAATCAACATCATCATTATTATGGTGAAATAATTTATTTTTGTTGCTCATGATAATCAAAAACTAATTATTAAGGCAATTAGTTTTGTATTTTATTTTCATCTTCGTGTTTTTTATGGTGCATATTATGTAACCTACAGAATATATAATTTACATTGTGTCAACATATTTTGCACTTTTGATATTTAACTTGCACACTAATAGTCTTGACATTAGCGAGGTTTATATAATTTAAAAATAAATATGTGTTTAGGTAATTTATTAAGCTGGGATATTATTATATCATTTCATGTGGGTTGATTGTCTATTAGTTTTATATTTTATTTGCGATTATCATGACATTTATTTACCATCAAGCAATGTGTAGCGTTAAGGTAAACACACTAGGATAATAAATGATATTGTTAGGCTTGCCATTTTTTGAATAGTATCAGGCGCTAAATTCATGAATAATGTATAAGCTAGAATATTCTGCGACAAAAACAAAATTAAATATTTATTGTACATTTCTCATAATTTATTCATTATTTTGTTATTTGATATCCAATTTGCACCATAATTAATATTTTATTATTCACTCTATTAATGTTTATTCACATTTCAATAATATTTACAGTTTATTATTTTGTTCTTGAATGAACCAACCATGGTTAATTAAAATAATTGACAGTACAAGTAATAGTGATACGCTTATTGTAAAGTCATTGCTATTTTACAGATACATTTGTACTCCAACTGGTGAATAGTGTTCAACTGATTCACCTTTAATGGTATTAATTCATACATGCACATACAGTGTGAATCAAATGTCCCTGAATTTATTACTAAATAGTTTACACGCGATATATAACTCGTTGTAATGTTTACGATGTTGATTTTATTATGGTATTATGCAATTAATAGTAAATTGAACCTTGGTAATTTGATTCATAGGTTGATAGGCATACAATAATATTGATAAATACTAGTACTGGTAATGATTGAATGAACTATGAATTGACTTTGATTTTACCCTTGGTCAAAGTTTTCCTATGCCTATTGCTTAAGACGTTTTGATTTAATCTAACGATTAGATTACTGGTGTATAAAAAATATACTTTGGTTTTTGGGTTAAATGAGTACACTTTGTAAAAAGTCAAGTACTCTGTATACCAAGTGCTATACCAGTCATATCCTGTGTTTATTTATGTACCCCTTTATTAATCAGTAACCATTCATGTGAGCATGGTGCATAAATGCCAATAAAATTCCATTTAATCTACTATTAATCAAAGGAGGATGTCGAGATCTGCCTAAGCTGGCAACCGGGATTTGACCATATAAAATAAAAGTACAGTGCATAAGGAGTCCATTGATATAATCCATATGGCCGACCGACCTCGTGTTCGGCGGTAGTGACCATTTTTATCGGGAACTATAAACTTGTTCAGAATAAACATATGATATACGAAATCAATGTAGAATTCAACATAGAATAAGAATATATTATTATAATTTGCATGGAACATATCGTTTTTGAATTATCTCAAAATTAAGAATTTATAATTTCAATTTTTATTATTTTGACGTTGTTTATTGATAATTTTTAATAAATTACGTTTTATTTTAAATTAATATTAAAATAGAAAAATATATATTAAAAAGAGTAAATATTTTTTAGTTAAAATTCAGTTTTTGTAATAATGAAGCTTTCTATGTAGATAATTGATTTGGTTCATTTGGAGTCTGCCACCAGGGCTCCGATGGTTCCTCAATCTACTACTGGTGAGAGGGATCCAATACTAGCCCGTGAGTGACCCCGATAACCAATGCAAAAGAATTGGATTTTCATAACCTGGTCAGGAAATTAAGTCTGGTTGTTTTGGTTTTGTCGTGAGTGGTGGTCGGGGTTGTGAGATGTTGTTGTCAGTGGTAGTCGGAGTTGTGGTGGTGTTGTTGGTATGGTGTAATAACTTATTTTAATAAGTTTTAGTTGTTTTACCCAAATTACAACAAATCTTTTAATTTCATTGATGTGATATTATATTCTGATTCTACGTTAAATTCTACATTGATTTCATATATCATATGTTAATTTTGAATAGGTTTAGATATACCGAAAATAGTGACCAGTACTGCCGAACTCAAGGTCAGGCTGTCATATGAACTCGTATCATTTGATTTTTATTGGAGATATGTTTGATATCATAACGAAAATAACATTAAATTCACTTTGAACAAAAAATCGCCCACTATACTATCAACGTAACTTTTTTCCGGAGGGTTAAATAAAAATTATTTTTTTAGGCAAATTAACATAGGGCCTTCGACACCCTTCTTTATATTTTTCATGTAGTGTAGGGTTGAAGTGTGCTAGAAATAAAACGTGCTAGTTATTATTTTATTGTTTTTAATTAAATTAGTTTGATTGTTGTTAATAATTTAACAATTATTGGTTTATAATAATGACAAGTAATATGACTAAAATTAATTTTATTACATACTATACCCGTTATAATGAACCGCGCTATTGGCTATAATTTATGGTTTATTAAGTTATTATAGTTATCATGTTTTTTATGTGAAAAAAATCTGTTTTCCCGTTAAAAATGTATTTATTTTTATACCTAAACCCCAGAAATAGTTATTATTTGGTTATCCATGAATTTATAGCTAAAAAATAATATCAATAAAATCCAGACATAAGTATGCAAATGTGCTTTGATATTATTTTTTGCATACATCCTAAATGTCAACGGAAATTAAAAATACCTTCTAGGTATTTGCTTAACCATAATTTTATTATGTTAAAAATAACATAAATTATTCGCTATAATGTTTATGCAATTTTTATACACTATTAAGTCATTAAATGTAAATGTTTTTAGACTATCATATGATGAAAACATGTGATACACTAAACAAGTAAAAAACAAAAATTAAAAAATCAATAAAACAGTACATCACAAACCCCATGGTGTAAACACTTCGCCACCTTCCCCATAGCCTTAACCTTGTTCATAATAATGGGACCCCTCTATTAAACAACCCCTCTATTTATAAGTATACCATTAATTTCAACACTAATGCAATGTTTATTATGTAATTTCAGAGGAGATATCGGCGGCGCGGGAGCTGTCGATGGACGGCACGACAGACCTGTCGCAACTGGTGTCCAACGTATTGCCGCCGAACAACACTAGTCCGGTGCCCATCAGTCGGGCCAACTCCATGTCCACACCGCAGCACAACAACGGTGGCCCTAACCATCAAAACGCGCTGTTAAACAGACAACAACAACAGCAACAGTCGATCGCTTCGTCGCTGCCCGACCACTACCAGACGGGTGGCTTTGACCTGTCGGCACCGCAACCGCCGCCCCAAATGGTGATTATTAGTTTATTAATGCAACTAGTTTATATACATGTAGTTTTGTAATGTTTATAGCTAGTTTTAATGACATTTTTAAAGTTTTATTTAAAGTTACGTGTATTTTAAGTGATAGACTATTGCTTCTCTCTCTCTCTCTCTCTCTCTCTCTCTCTCTCTC